ATTCATGTGAAAGTTGCTGCTTATGAGGGAGTTAAATGGCATTTACCACACTTGTGTAAGAGATACATATTTGCAAAAATTACAGGTAAACATTCCTAACATAACATCTGTACCTTGTTCCCATAGGATAATTTTAAATAACCCTGCCTTAAATCCCAGCATAAGTTGTTCTTCCCATGATCCTTCCCTCAGGACTTTATTTCAGATTTCTAGTTCCTCCTGTTAGAGGACTGCTCCTGTGTCCCATATTTTGTGTTTGTTTTTCTATGAACCACAGGTGCCCTGGTATGCCAACAATTACTAACCTGCAGCACAGAAAAGGCATTCAGCATTTTTCAATAAGAGAATCTTGTCATGCTATGGCAGATATTCATGTGAAAGTTGCTGCTTATGAGTTGCTGCTTTGGTTCTTTGGTGAGAGGTTCGTTGACGCCAGAAAAATTCCTCAAAACAAATCCATGTGCAAGTGACAAATTTAAATAGACATACAAAGTCTCTTTACAAATTCAAATAATCCTGTTCATCAGGGATTTTTGCCCCTTTTAATTGAAAAAACTTTTGACTGATCTTCATACATTGGATGTTGTAATGTTTTTGGCTAGACTTCTCTCCCTACCCTGCTTATTTTGAATTGCCTCTTGTTGTCCTCCATTTTAATAGTATCTCATCCGGCAGAGCAGAATAAGGGTGGCTCTTATAGGCAGGTTGATTCAGGATACAGCAAAAATATTACGTTTTTAGATCTGTATGTTATAAGTGGGAATCTGACTACTATAATTTGTCAGTGCACAAAATCTTACAAGGTTAGATGTAGGCTTTGGGTATAGCCAGGACAAATCAGTTGTTTACAGAGTAGGGAAATAGCTGAACAAGAAACTTGCACCCTTTGGGTAACCTGACTTGCTCAAGCACTCACTGAAGTGGTGTGTATAAAAGTGGCATAAATTTGTGCTTAACAGTAAAATTGAGAAGGAGGTTGCACTTAATTTACAGAGGAAATGATAGCTATGCAGTAATTTTTTTCTAAAATATTAAAGTCATTAATAAAAACATTAAAGAACAACACATTCGTAGAAATCTTATCCATTTGTGGCATATTCAATAACTTGGCTAAACTAAAATATGAAATCAAAATGTCATCTTTTTAAATTACCAGACAGATAACAAAGTGTGTTCTGACATTCTTTTCTATTTTTAGACTCCAAGAATTGTATTATTTCCCAGCTTGGTGGAGAAGCAAAAGTAAGTTGCAAAATTTTTTTTTTTTTTTGTGAAGAAAATGTCTGTATGGAGATGTGGAACAGCTGCCTATTGGGGAATCTTTCAAATGTACTGTGTTTAAGAGGCAGATTTTTTACGTGGAAAAGTACCACCCGGGTGCTAACTGGTAAAAGTGTTTTGTTATTATTGAATTTATTTGTTATTATATTACCAACTTGCAATTACTTTGGGAAAAAATAACCCTTATACTATACAGAAATACCAAAGCAGTAATATGAAAGCTTTCTTTGGAAAGCCTGGGACTGACCACAAAGCACACTTACGGCAATGCAGTTATCACATAGAAAGGAGACAAGTAGATGGGTTAACACTATAGAGAATCAGGATCTCTGCTGGTACTAACTGGGCAAAGATCTGCGTGTGCTGCCAGAAATTGTCTTTGAATTGTTTCAGTGAAGATGAAGTAAAAGCTCAGCTTGGTTTTGCAGTCTTGCATGTTGGGAAAGGATTCCTTGAATTGGGAATGCTACTCTCTTCTGGCAAAGAGACCTTTCAGTTTCAAAATATCAAGATTAATTATAGTGGAGGCGAATAAGTTTGAGCTGAGAAGGCATACAAAGTTGGCTATAGCTTTCAAAGGAAAGTTAAAGCAGCTACAAAACAAGCAGTAGTACTTTGGTTATTACTTTAAAGTTACATTTTGGAAAGAGGCTGGTACTGCAGGAGTCACACCTAGTGCTTGCAAGAGCGCAGAGCTGGGTGGCAATAGCTTAAAGGCAATTGGTAAGTATGAAACAAAGTCTTGACATGTGTGAAGCTCCTGGCTGAATGACAGCCTATTTTAAATTTGTATCAGTGGATGTTCTTTTTTATTGCCCTTTAGAATGCACAGCTTTCCTTTAACAGACAACAAGAAGAGAATCTGCAGCTTCGGTCAAAAATAACTGTCCTGCAAGAAACAGCAGATAAAGTACAGGTAATGAGAATAGCTTCTTTTTCATTTGCCTTTAAAATGGAAATAATGTATAGAAAACCAAGTGATTAGGATGGGAAATGATCACAGGTTCACTGGGAAGGTTCAAATACAGCTCAGGAAATAAAGTTCAATGCCCTCGGGTAATATGGGCTGATGAACAACTTCCAGTGAAGGAAGTTTATTCTGGTAACTATTCATGAATTCCTAACCTTAAGGCTGGAGAGTTTTCTTCTCCGTAGTTAATTTAAATCAGCTTTGTTGCAAATGCTTTATTTGAAGGATAAGATGTGAAGAACTACTGCTGCTCCCACTTCTGTGTACCTTAAAGTACTGCCTTGATACTCTTTTGCACCTTTAGATTCTACATCTATGCGTTTCTGTTAATGAGATAAATCTAAAGCAATTGCTTAGCCAAAATGTCCTCTGCCTTTGGGACAAAAGGCTGACCTCAACATGAAACTATTAGGATCCTTTCTCCAATCTTGCTTTCATTTAGAAACATTACTTGTCCTTTTTCTGCTCTTCAGAATTAATAAATGATTATTCTTGTTTCGTTAGGTTAACTTTTGCCTACCTTCTTCTCCCCACCCCACAATCCCTATAAATTAGCACACTTAAAACACATTTTCTTTTGACTTTTGCTATAGTTAAGCAAAATAAGGTCTGCAAGAGATTTTGGAAGATATCTGACAGCCTACTATGCTAAAAAGTAACGATGTTTGTCATCTTCCTTCCTCTATCTAATCAGATCCTTAATGACCACTTAAGCCAGCAATGCTCAGACCTCAGCACCTCGCTTCAAAGTGTTGCCATGGAGAATGTTAAACTCATTTCAGATCATCAGGCCATCCTTAAGGTATGTAGCCTGTTAAACAGGCCAAGAAAGTGGTCTGCAGCTTTCTATTAGGGAGCTGGTAAGGCAGTACTATATATGGGAGTATAGCAAAGTTCTGTACGTGTAAATAGCACATATAGTGGTATAAATTCTAAAAAGGCTGAGTTATACAAAGTTCTAAAGTTTTAAGTTGTAAAATTTACTAATTTTTCAGTCTGAAAAATGTTCTCTAAAAAGAGAAATAAGACTTAATGTGGTTCAAAGACTATTATTTCAGGACCACAAATAAAAGCCTGTTACGGAGGAGGGGAAAGAATCAAGATGCAATGTAAAAATGATTTGTAAAAATAGCCTGTAAGAACCTCCGCGAAAGAGGCAAGCAGGAATTAATGGCGTTGTGCAGACTGCACATGAAGAAGCTAAATTAAACCATCAGGACTTAAATGAGCTATATATATGTATGTATACAATAAATATCTTTATTAAATATATATAAAAATTATATGTAATATATATAATTAAATTTTATATAATTAATTTTTATATATAAGATATATGTAATTATATATATTTATATGTATAATTATATAAAATATTATATAGAAGAATGTATATTTATTAAATATATAAATATAAAGCTCTGTCTGGGTAAAGTAACTCTGCATTTTGACACCTACCCTAGAAGCAGCATGTGAAGCTACAGGGCCAACACAGGAGCCTGGTGCTAAATTAACGGCTGTGTCAGTTAAATGCTATTTAATATGTGTCCCTATTGTTTCCATATTGGCGTTAATTGCCTGGGTATTCTTTCCCCTTTAGTCAGAGCAAGAAAAGATGACTCAACAGCTGCAGGAGCAAGACTCACTCCTGGACGCTGCCTGTGCTGACATTCTGGGAGAGCTGCAGAGCGTGCACCACGAGAGGGCTCAGCTTCAGAAAGAGCTGTGAGGAGATTGCTCATCTGCAGCCTCCGTCTTGTGCAACTTCCTTTGCATGCTTGCCACCTTGTATTCTGGTTCTCTAATACTTGTTACTTGTTACAAAAGGTTTTGTGTTTAATATGAAGGCCACTTTCTGTTCTCCATGTCCTGTACTGAGCTAGTATTCCAGCTTGGCTGTTTCTTGTCTTTAGGGAAGCCTTGCATACCAAGCATGGAAAATGCAAACAGAAAGCAAACCTTAAGGAGGAAGCAGCAGCCACCCAGAGAAAGCTGCTGGAATGTACTGTTGCTAAACTGCAAGGTGAACTGGAAACAGCTTTGCAAGAAAGGGGATCTCTGCTGGCTGAAAAGGAAAATCTTAAACAGGAGGTACATGAAACTTAGGATTTTAAAGGTGTACAGCATTAGGATCCACTTTGCCAAAATCTTTATTTTCGTACCAGTTTTGCTTCTGGAAAGATGATCTGTTGCTATTGTGTGGCAAAGAGAGACACGTGCTCCTGCTCTTTAGTGCTTTTGTATTTTGACCTGTAATGTCTCCTTTAAAGAACATTAAAAGGGAAAGATGACAGGACAGCTCTGCAGATACTATTTCTGAATTTCAGAATTGACTTCTGACCTTCTGATCAGTAGTTTTATAGATATGTAGAAGTCCTGTGAATCTAGAAACTTTTCAGATAACTTAAAAATTATTTCAAATTTCTTGTCATAGATAAAAGCAACAGCAAATGAAATAACACAGGAAAGGAACAAACTGGAAGTAGAAAAAACAGAGAACAAGGTATCTTGCAATATCTGTGACTGTTCTTTAAATTCAGAATACTCTCTTCCAATAAGCTTTGCTTTAATTTTCATTGTTCTATTTATGTTAGCTCTAAATAGAGTTCTAATGATCATAGTCTCAATACTTGCTTTGCTATTTGCTACATTTCTTGTGTATATAATTATGTCTTCTGGGACAATCCTGCTCACCTACACAAGGCCCCGTTTGTTGTAATAGACTTTGTCCTGTTTCTACTGCAACATTGATAATTTTCTGCTGCTTTCAATTACTTTTAACTGTGTAGCTCCCTTGCATAGGCTGGAAAATGAAGTGTAGCCTTTGTGGTATGAGAAATTCCCTAGCATGGTAATTTAAGCCAACACAACTGTTGACTTGTGGAGTTTCTTTAATCATTGAGGAAAGGCTCTCTGGAAGAGTATAGGCGGTACCTATTTCATATATAATACTGCAGTTTTGTCAGGTGATTGTGAAAATGCTCAAGCAGTATGATGATATCTATTATTTTTTCTCTTTGTAGCTAGAAATGGCTTCAATGAAATCCTCTCTGCAGACACTAGCAGAAGAAAATAAAAGGCTATTGAATCGTTTGGCTGCATTGGAACACCAGCAAGTAAGCTGCTTTGTTACAAAAATAACTCAATAAGTAACTGCACCAGGCATCAAACTGCAGTCTGAAATAATCTGGATTGTATGGAAAGTGGAAGATCAAACTAGGGAATCAGAAGAGGAAATGATAAAAACAAAATGATAAAATGACTTCTCAAAAGTCACTCTGTTTTTTAGATTTAGTGACTGTGTAGATTTTGGAACTACCTGAGCCTCAGGTATTGGAGATTAGATATGCTGTTTAAATCTTATGACTTTGTTCCATTTTCTAGTGCTTAAATGCATCCGCGAGGAGTTAATATCACTTTTATTTCCTACTCTGCAAGCAATTTGCACTTCAGGACCAGATTCCCATTTTTTACCTTGTTCCTATTCAGTTATTTTTGACTACTCAGTCACCTTGTTTGCTTTCCATCTCCAAACTACTTTGGCAGGCATTGGTTAAAGAATATGAATTAATACAGTATTCAGACCTTAGTGTTGCCTTGTTTCTAATTTTTTTGGTATTTCTTAACTGCTGTCATTCCAATTATTTTATTTTGCTTTTGTCAATGCTTTCTCATTCTTCTCTAGTTCTTTGACTACTGTGCTCCTTTTGTCAAGATTTATCTTTCATCTCTCCATTTCTGCTGTCTGTGCTTCTATGACATCTGTACTAATTTGAGAGATTCTTCCTAGAGATTAAGTTGCCCAAGAAGTATTTATACTTTTATACCTCTTTGGTATAAAGGATGGATGGATGGTTTTGCACTATCCATCCCCCTTTCAGCCTTTCACTTAAAATGAAAAGGAAGGTGCTGTAAATCAGCAGGAGAAGGATTTTTTTTTTTTAATAAAAAGGATAAAAGGGCATTGAAGGGCCTTTCTTATTGGTTTTTTTTTGCACCCCCCCCGTTTTTTTTCTCCTTTTCCCCTTAGGGAATGGTGACTTGTGCTCTTGTTTCCCTCAGCATGCCCAGCAGAAGGTGCAACAGGTCCTAGAGGAGCTGACTAACAGCAAGAATAAACTGGCCTATGACAAAGGAAAACTTGAGGTATCTCGCATCTTGTTTATCAGATTAATTGGGGAGTTACTCTTTTACATTCATCTTGTATAAGATTATTCAATGTAAGTTCTTTAGTCTTTAATTTGGAACAAATTCCTACTTATTTGTGCAGTGTTGAGCACATATCAAAATCAAGTTCGATCCTGCCTATAGTGCTTATTATAGTTGAGTGACAGATAGTCCAAGACGTTATTGATGAAGTATTTCTAGGGTTCTGATAAATGAGTGCTCTAACAGCTACAAAGGACAAATACACGGGTAGAAACTTTGCTGAAACTTTGGAAGCATGGGAATATTTCTAAAAGGCTGAAATCCATAAGGTGGGAGGCAGGCTGTGGTGGCAAGCATTAATAGAAAGCATATGTCATCCTTCTTAAGCATGACTTAGCTGGACAGTAGATGAGGTGCTGAAAGTGAAATTTTCTCTTCCTTCCATGTGATGTACATCATGGAGCTTGGCGCAGTGATACAAGGATTCCTGAGGTTCTTTCAAAAGCAGCATAGAGGGTATGGTCATTTTTAGAAAAGTGAGGCTCTGGGTTTATGTAGTGTACCTATATCTAATGCTAGGTGACTAATTCTAATGCATGATTATTCATATGCAAGGATAAGTTAGAAATTATCCTTTGCTGTTCCTGAGGTTTATGGGATTTGACAAAAATAAAATATGTTTGCTCTGGTCAAAGAAATCTTTATTCTTCTGCTTCTGTGTTCCACTCAAGCTAATGCTTTTCCATAGCCTGCTGCATCCATCTTTGCTTTACAACTGAAGTGCAGCAGCTGCAGGAAGAACTGCAGTCTCTTGCAGATGCACGTTCAGATAGAGGCTAATTTCACAAATGCACAATGCAGCCCTAGAGACCAAGTATACTCAGGTATAGTAGGACTTGGAGAACTTCTTACCTGTCAGAATTATGTCCAGACTGTAACTAATGTTCAAGAACTCTTCGGAAATCATTTTTAACACACTTTCTTGAAAAATAAAGCACATTTTAATACTAAATATTAGCTTTCGCATCCTAGTTTGCAGGTGAACACAGAATTTGATTTCAGCAAAAACACGAGGGGTGGAAGTGCAACTAAAACAGGCATCAGAGCCATTTTCATGCAAGTTAAATGCATGTATTCAGGCAGGAAAGCACAAAACTTAGGGGGTTATAAGGATTGTCCTCTTGAATTACCATTAGTTGCCCAGTAAGAAGAGGAGGAGAAGAAAAAAAAAAAAACCACAGTTGCAGATAGTATTTTTAGCTCGACTAGCTCTCTGGCTTGGATATAGCTCTGATGCACTCTGTCACGATTTGGTATCTGAGAAGGAATGGAAGTTCCTGAAGAGAGTGTACTGTTGGGAGTTTATTCTTGCTTGTGCATGGAGGTCTTGGTACGGTTGCTTGAATTTACAGTTTAGCAGCCTTGTAATACAGCTGTTGAGCGGCACAATTTACAGGAATGCTTTAAGTGTCACTGAGGGTTATACATCAGTAATCTACCTGCCATGCTGTAGAAACTAGATACAGGACATAACTGTGTTTAGGACACTTGCCTGGAAAACAGGAGGTCCTTTCTCTGCCGTCTGTTTCCTCAAAGCAGAATGAAAGCTTGTATCTTAATTCTCCATTGTAGAGGCTGATCCCTTAGATAATCAAAGGAAACTGGGTATTGCCTTGGCAGTTAGCGTTCATGACCAGCGAGCTGTCGGATTTGGGAACAAATGTGCGGCAGGGGAGCGAGCTAGAGCGGATCGGGCAGCGGGAGCGCAGAACCGCCGGCACCGCGGAGCTGTGACGCTGCCTGACATCACAGTGAGGGAATGCACCCTCCTGAGGAGAAGCTGCTAAGGAACACGGAGAGAAATTGCAGTGCTGTGGGGAGGATCACGGAAGAGCACTTAAAACCATGCACTTTAAAGGCTGCCTTAAGATGCTTTGCTTGGGGCAAGAGACCTTCCTAACGTAATGCAGGCGTAGGGATAGGATATAGCATCTGCTACGGTGCCTTTTACTTCTACTGTGGTTAATAGATATTCTAGAATGTGTTTTTTCCCTTTTGTATACTCGCATCTTCACTGTTTCTGAGGACAGATTAGTTTTGTAGTGGAAATGGCACCAAAAAGAAAAAAATCCCCAGCAGGGCCCTGGCAGCAAAAGTCTGCTGATCAGAATGTTAGGTCAGGTGCAGGTTCAAAAGAACAAACTGTGAAACGTGCTGTCCCCTTTCTTTCACACCGGGTTCATTTTGAACCAGGTGAACGTTCAAGAAAGTCTTCTGACCATGGAGATTGTCTTCAGGCCAGCCTGAGGATTCTGTTAGATGCTATTAAGAACATGGAAGAAAGGCTGGAGACCAAAATAGACCTTCTAACACCAAGAATATTGAAAACTGTGTCGTCTGCTGGGCTTAGCAAAGGAGACTTCAATGTGGTGAGTGAAAGACATGAAATGCAAGTTAAAAAGATGGCTCATTTCAATTAAATAGTTGCTGGCAATGAAGAAGTGTCTGAAAATTAACAAGGTCCCAAACCTTTTGAGTGTTTCTTGTATGAAAGAGATGCACGTGAAAAGTTGTGCTGACAACTTTTTTTTTTGACCAAAAACTCAGCTTTAAGCATCCGCAGTGCTACCTGTGGTGTCAAGAGTACATAAACACTGGAAGTTATTAATGAAACTCAGTTTGGGCTTAAAATTGGGGTAAGACAAAGACCGTGTATTTAGAAGAAATGATTTCTCTATAAAAGAGATTTCTCTTCTCTGTTGTATACTCTTGGCACTGCCGCAAGCATGCACATTCTTGACTTAGAAAATAACAGATAACTGATTTTCCTGCTCCTTTGCCTGGTTTCTTGCACTTCAGGTGGCTAACTTGCAGCGCCAGCTGGAGGCAGCAAAGAATGAGAACAGCAAGGTGACAACCATGCTGGAGCACGTGTTAGCATCTCACAGCAAGATGCAGGCAGCTCTGGAGGCAGGACAGACAGAACTGGAACACAAGGATACGGAAATCTGCAGTCTCCGAAAAGAGAGGTAAGTGGAGTTGATGTTCTTCCTAAGGTCAGTTGTGTTTGTGTTCTTCCTGTTCAGCAGAGTGCTGAAGACTGGTGTCGTGGAGAAGTGACATCTTTCCCGCAGCACTGACTAGTAAACTCTTTAGCACAAGTTTGTTTGAAAAATTCCTATATTTTTTACTGCAACACTGAAACATACTTAGTATCACTGAGCCAAGCACACCAAATCTTCCTGGCTAGTGCTGCAAAAACTGTGCTTGTAAGTGCTCTGCTTAGTCAGATCTCGTGCATCTTGTGGGAAGCAGGCAAGAATAAACTTAATTTTAGTTGCAGTGACAGGCAAAACTTCCTACAGAGAAAATAGAACCTAACTGTGAGATTGCCAGCATATCAGAGGAGAGGTGCACAGAGATAATACATTATTTGTTTACCCTGTTTCCATTTTCAGGAGTCAGAGTCAACAGAAAATGCAGAGATTAGAAACAGAACTGGAACGTTGCCAAGCCAGAGTGGCTGCCATGGGAAGCGAGCACAGCAGTCAGGTAGAGACCATGTTCTGCCATTGCAATAGGCAGGACTGCTGCATCTTCAGGATTGAGCCAGTCACCTCTTCAAAAACAAACAAACAAACAAACAAAAAAAAAAAAAAAACTGGTGTGACTCATTCACATGAATGGTGGCAAAATACTCTGTCTGCATTAAGCTGTGGAGCAGGAAAATAATTTTCCAAGTGTTGAAAGAAGCAAGTAAAGATTAAGATAAAGAATAATTTAAAATCTATTTAAAGTAACATTCCTTGCCACAGGTAAGGTTTTTAGTATCTGCACCCTGGATAGGGATAGAGATTTCTGAAATATTTTTAACTTTAAAAAGGAGAGAGAGAGAGAGGGTGGATGGGCGCAAGAAAAAGGGCCAGCATTGCTTTCTTCTTCTTTCCTAGTTTAAAAGCAATTTTCTTACAATGCAAACCCACTCGCCATTGGCAAGGGCATATTTTTCTAAGAGAATCATGGTTATATGACAGGATGCTCTGATCCTTCTGACTAAGCCAGTCTGTGGATCGACCTTATAGGGAATCCCCTCTAGATGGTGTGCCCAGAAGGATGTTTGTCATCAGGCAGTGAGTGAACAGGCTCTTACTTCCAAAAAGCTGATGCCAACTGGGAAGGGAATGATGCTCCTGTCTATGCTTTTTCGTTGGAGCGAACCTAAGTCTGATCTCTTTTTACTGCCCAGGTGGAACCACTTTGTAAAGCACTGGAAGTTACTAGAGCAGACAACAAGAAACTTGCTCTTCGTCTGGAACAAGCTGTGCAGGCCAATAATACCCTGCAGAACAAGCTGATCCAGGCTCAGTATGACCTGAAAAGCAAAGAAGCTGAGCATCAACAGCTGATAGTCTGCAGGTAGGAACAAATCCAGGGCATTAAAGCTGAGGAGAATCATAACTTTTCACTAACATCAGATCTTTGACTTTTCTCATCTGTCAGTATCCATCCTGAGTACCATGCTGCCAGTTCAGGATGTGAAGACAGAGCTACATCAGTGAACTGCTTTGTCCTTTCCTTCAGTTACTGCTTACCTAGGGTTAGTTGGTTACCTAGGGCAGTTGTGGCGCTTCCTCAGCAAACAGCTTGTCCATAACATTTGCAGGTATCACTTCCACTTTGAAGTGGAAGTGCAAATAGCTACAGCGAAGAGACCCCAGGATAGGTGTTTAACCCCTTGACACCAAATCAAACTAAACACCTACACCCTAAAAAGTAAAACTTTAGACGTAGTTAACAGCAAGCATTGGTGTATCCTAAATCACCTCATTATCCTGGGTCTAAGCAAACTCAGCCACCTACCTCTCTGAAGGGAAATGAGCAGTCCTAAAGTTTGAAAAAAAAAAAAAATCTTATGTAGCCATTTGCAATATCCTTAGAAACAGAGCATGTGAAGTCTATATGTGGTTTTACAGAATCAAATTCTTAAGTGCTAGTGTTGCTAAGAGTTTAACCAAGACAAAGGAAGCATTTATCATGGAATTTTCTTTCCTATTTTAGTGGTTTTTTTAAAAAAAAATAAAGCACATTAAATGCATAACTGTTGTTGCTTCCTCCATTAAAAGGAAACAGCTAGTGGAAGAAGCTCAGACTAAGGAAAAGGCATATGCTGAACACTTGGAGTCTTTGAAGAAGCAGTTTCACATTGAGCAAGAGGCTTCTAGAAAAGCTGCCCATCGAGAATCTGCTGAGGTGAAAAGGGAAAATATTACAGTGGTTTTCTGTCCAATTTTCAAACTTAAAAAAGCAGTTCATGACATAGTTCTCTCTCTCCAGTCATCATGGAGTTGTCCATCACCTGTTTACAAACGTAGTGATACCTGTGCCCTCTGTCTCTTGCCAGTGCTACTGTTTCACCCCAGCGCTCCCACCATACATAAGACCAAGGCATTGTGATCAGTCATTCCAGCGAATTCAAAAGGATAATCTGACATGGAAACCTCCAGGGATAAAGTGCAAGCGTGAAAGGCAGAAATTCTCTTTGCTTTTTGGGGGCTGTATCATAAAGCTCTGCTTGACCTTAATATAACTCAGATGCCAGCAGATCACCAGGTGTTGTAGCATAATCCAGACAGAGAACCATCTTTGCGCTCTCCTTTTTCATGGTGGAGGAAATGAACAGATATTTACAGTTTGTCAACTCCCTTTCTCCTCTGTCCCCTAGCTCAAGAAGGCCCTGGAAGAAGCATCCTCCAAACTGGGCGAAGTTTCACGTGCTAACAGGGAGCTACGGCAGAAAGTGTCAGAGCTGGAAAAATCTGTGGCTAGCTACAAAGAAAAGCTTAAAGGCCAGAGAATTCAAGTCAGACATTGCCTGGCCTCCAAAGCTAGCAATGTTCAGAATGCAGAGAGGATAAAGGTCTGTGCATGTTTTCCGTTTAAGACAGAGAACTCCTTTTCCTAAGTGTAGAACTACAGTAGTATCTTTTTTTAGTGGTGCTAGACAGGAAAATAAACAAAACTAACTTTGGACTCAAATGCTTAGCAGAAGACTATTAGCAGGTATAGTTGCTATTGCATGGCCTGTTCCTGTTTTTGTTTTGTTTTTTTTCCTTTCCTCTTTTTTTTTCTTCCTATATTAATTAAGATGTCAGAATCCAAGCTCCCCTCCTTCCTCCCGGTCCCCAGGCTGTACTTTTGGGTTAGCCTGTTGTACCCTTCATGAGTTTGTGGATACAATTGGTTTAAATGGTGGTTGTTCCAAAGGTCACTTCACGTGGGGGTGATTCCCTTCCCATCCTTCATAGGGACAGAACCTCTGCTAGCACCGGGAGCTGATCCCAAGAGGGAGCCTGGGGTCCTCTCTAACCCTGTCTGCTTGCTCTCCTTTCACCACTGGGGCCTTGGTTCTGCTAACCTCAGTCCTACAGGGCAGGAAATAGGGAGACAGTGGAGGGGGACACTGGCACCTGGGACCTATTTCTGCAGACGAACCTGAAAAATTCCTCAAGTTTTGTTTTTCTTTCAAAAATTTCAAGGAGATTGAATCTGAATTGAGGGAAATGGAAGCAATAAAAGAGCAGTACCAGAAAAAGAACTGTGAACAGGTATGTTCTCTTGACCAGCTTCCTAAAGAGAGTGATCTGATGAATTAAGTTGTTGAAATTTCATTCTTATGCTGCCTCCAGTCACAGAACATCCAAAAATTTGTGACAGAGTTGACAAGTTTGCAGACTGAGATGCAAGAGTTATTGAAAAACCAACATGAAGTGCAAACACGGAACAGGCAGCTAGAGACCCATCTGGAAGCAGAGAGAAGTCGAGGGCAGCAACTGGAAAAACAGTGTCAGGTAAAGTGATAACACCATGAAAACGTATAAACTGCTACCACTGTTTTCTCACCACAGCATCTACGGGGCTTTAGGAGGGGGTGGTGAAAAGCTTCATGAGTCCCACATCAAAAGATACTCCTAAAACCTCACTGTATCTGTGCCAGAAAGGCCAACCAGAAAAAAAATCTTACGTTTGCTATGGAATAACACTATATATCTCACAATTCAAGAACAGTTTTCCATGTCTTTCTTAAAAGTCTATGCTTTTTACAGTTTAAAAATAAAAGTCATTCTGTTCATTTTGCAAAATTTTGACTTTTTCCATGAAAAAAATAACTAAGAAATATATGACATTTGTCTTTCTATCCAGAGATTGGAAGAAACAGTCAAACATCTCAAGAAAAGTAAAGAAGAAACAGAACAGAAACTGAAGGAAGCCAGCATAGAATCGGAACTGGTGAGACTATTTAACATGAGCACTGTGTGTCATTGGAGGTCACGAGATACCATTTCAGGGTATGCCTGACCCTTTGAATCTGAAATTCTCCAGTGAAGAGTGAGATATCCTTGATTTTTTTTCAAATCAAGAGTAATGAACTGGTGTTTACCACACAAGAGACAAATTTAACTAAAAAAAAAAAAAAGGAAGATTTAGAATTATTGGAGTAGGGAAGGAAAGCTTTTTTCCCCACAGCTTTCTCTTTCTATCAGGATCTGTCATATTCTATCATATTATGGTTGTACATGCATTACTATAGAAGCTTGGTAAGAAAATTTACTTTTTGAGATATATGGTATTAACCAGCATAAAGTAAAGAAATGAGTAACAGAGGTGCCTGAGCTTTACATCTTGCTTGCTCTTTATCAGTCCAAGTACTTGGATCAGTTGTTTGAAAGGGACTTGAACAGCAAGAGTAATATATGTGTGCGCCTACAACACATGTCGAAGTTAGTGCCCTTCCCACATCTTTCTAAGGCGTTTGGGGTATCCAACCACAAATTGTGGTGTTTCCCCTCTCTCTGTATTTGTGCTGTGTTGACTTCTGCCAACGCCGTCAGCTCCTTGGTAAGGAGCAAGTGCTCGGGGACCCCGCGTGCTGCTCTCCCCCTCCCAGCACAGGGCCCACGTTATCCCCCAGCTCTGCAGCACCGCGTCCCGCTGCCTCTCCTAGGTCACGGCGAACCTGGAGGACGCTCGCCGCTGGTTCAAGGCGAGGTTTGAGAGACAGCGCAAGCACATTCACTCCATAGCAGGAGCAAAGCTATAAGCTGAGAGGAGCCTTTGGGAGTCAGGAATTCAGCTTGTTCAACTTCTTCCGCAAGTTCTCATGCCTTGGGGAAAAAACAGAGCTCTCTCCTTCTTCCACTTTAGTTTGTTCCCTCTTATTTTGCCAGGGTACTTACTTAACCAGCAAAAACTATTACAACAACACAACAGCCTCTATGGACTTTTCTTATACATAGCCAAATTCTATTGCACATTTCATGTTTTGCTGACACTCACTACCCAAATGCTTGTATGAAAGCTAACAGCTAGTGTGTTTTCGTCCCTTCTGGTTTTCATTGTTTTAACCCCCCCACACACACATTCCAAACTTTTCAATTCCTTTAAAAGCCATGCTTACCTTTTTGGCATAGATTCCACAGCATTTCCCATAGCTGGCAGTTCTCACTTGTCCTCTGATTAAGCTGCTAAAACTTATCCAAGTTCTTCTTTGGTAGTCAGAGATTCTCCCAGGAGCAGATCAGTTGATAAAACGTCATGTCTTTTCCCAGGAGCAGAGGCAAGCGGAGCTGCCCTTACCGGGCAGCAGAGCAAGGAGCCAGCTGAGCTGAGTGGAGTGGGGCAGGAAGTGAACTCAGCTGAGCAGTGATTCCCAGCCCGGGGCCACCTGCGCTGCCGCCGCCGCTGAGGTTCCCTGGGAGCATCCCCAGCCACAGGGAGCCGTGTGCTGGCAGAGAAGACTTCAAAGGGGTGTCAGTCAGGGCCATGCTCGGACTGTGATCGATCTGTGTCACCGAGACCTGGCAAATAAAAGGTGCACTGAGCATCTGCCTCATGGGAGCCTGGGACTCTGATGGGAGCTAGCTTGTCCCTCTCACCTGCCTGACATTACAGGGAGCTGTGGGTGAGTGTGAGATCAGCTTTCTAACATGGTCAGCTTTTGTGACTAGCAGACTTTGTACCATGAGACAGATATTAACAAAGCCCCTACTTATAGCAAAGAAATTATTCTTCCTGTATCATTCCTATGAGTGGATGCTGCTGCCTGCTACGTCTTTGTGATCATCACGTCTCTTCTAGCAACTTCGCAATGGGCCTCGGCAGGCGCTGTCAAAGCAGATCTCCGAGGGGTTTGCAGAGGGCCCAGGTGGATTGCTGAAGACAGAGTCATATGTGTGTGGCTGGATGCTGACGTGACCAGGACAGGGAGGACCTGGCAGAACAGGCTGCTTCTAATGATAGTTGTAATGACAGCTGATGTCTGGGTCATGAGAGAACACAGGCCCTGGGCTATTTTAAGAGCATATAAGGAATTCATTAGGTTTGTGACATTATACCACACATCCTGTTATATCTACCCAAGACTTGTAAGAATTGGTGGAATTTATTGAACCTATCTGTTGAAGTTGATGGCTTAGTCATAACAGGTTGAGTGCAATGGTAATGCAAACAGTTTTCACTCTTCTCTACTACTGCTCGGTTCAACTTTGTGGCTTACTCCTCCCTTCCAAAACTCTTCAGCACAGGGGTTGCTGGACTCTGCTTTCCCAGCTCCTCTGTAACCACTGGTATCATTTATTGCTGAAGGAACTATACCTGCTAATGTAAAAAAAAAAAAAAAAAAAAAAACCCTGGGGGGGGGGGAGTCTCAGCCAGCTCTGGAGCTTCCCTTCCTCCAGAAAAATTTGGTGCTAAATCAAATGGCAGTAGCGTGGACTTGTTTTGGAGGTCTAAACCTATCCTTGAAGGAAACAGACATGCTTAGGAACATGGGTGTGCTAAGCAGACTGTTAAAGCTGACATATCTTTCACTGAGATGCTTGTCATTAAATCTTTGATGCCGTTTTAAAAAAAGGAGGCCACTGGAATGTGACTAGTTAGTCCCAGCGGAGACAGCTCCGTCACAGACCGACTGGCATGTGCAGCACCTGCTGCCATCTCAGCAAGGGTTTAACTCAGTTCTGTGCCTCCTACCGCCCTCGTGCCCCAGGCAGAGAGCAGCCAGGGCTGCAACCTAGTCTCGTCTTTCAGGGGGTGATAACTCGCACTGTACCAAGAGGCACAGCTGAAAAACTCCTTTAGAATAGAGCTTGCAATTTAATACTTTTTTAAATAACTGGAAATCATGAATATTCACTCATGAATTTATTGATGCTCAAGTAGGTTGTCTCACGGGACAAACGGCTGTGACGTTTGCCAATGCAAGAGGAGAAGACCCGGCAAGGACGTTTGTGTGACCTGCGTGTTGAGAGGAAGGCAGCACCCCCTGCCTTCAGGTTTCCCTCAGCAACTCTACCTGGCATACGGTGCAAACTGTGTGTGTCATTACGTGGTACAGTGGGGTTGGGCTTTGCTCCTCCTTTGTTCAAGAAAGGGAGGCAGAAGAACAATCTACCTACAGTTGCTTTGTATATTTAAATACAAAGTCTGATTTTATAGCTGTGATAATTAACGTTGGTTTTGTATTCATATAGAAATATTCTACTCCACAGGCAATACATCCCTGTTGCTTTTTTTTTTTTTTCCCCCCCAAAACATACATGTTTAGGGAGCAAGGGGAAAAGCTAAGGTGCAATTGATTGTTGCTTACTGCAGCATGAGGGTACTCATGGCTTTAGCAATGCCCAAAGCCGCTGGCTGCACAAGTAAAGCAGCCCTGAGTCATGCATAGAAGGAAAGAGCTGGCCCAGATGTGCTGTGTTTGGAGCTGCTTTTGGCATGGGCTCGCTAGCCAACACGGCGCTCCTGGCAGCCGTCTGCCCCTCGGGGGTGCTCAGGGCCTGTCTGCACCATGAACCACAGCAGGGCCAGCAGCAGCAGCCTGGTGGCTTTAGAATTACAGGTCTGGGGGCAGCTCAAGCCCTGCAGGAGGTGTTTCCTCTGCAGGGTGTCTGGCTGCAGTGAGCTACGTTCCTGCTAAAGCCACGGAGCCTGGAAACTCCCAGCTTTAGTGTCTCTGCTGCGCGGTGCCAGCTCTAAAGGAGGGCCAGCACTTGCCAAAAACTGCCTTTTCCTGGGGGAGACTTGGGGCTTTTTCCCTGCATGTTACAGCAGGGGCAGCTGGGGCCCTGCACTGGTTTTCCATCCTGACCTTGCAGGAAGAGGAAATCTTTTGAGTTACCTTATGGCCATCTTTGCACAAACTACCCCAATTATGGAATTAAACCAATTAAGAATTGCATTTTTCTGTGAAGAGATGGATTAGGAGGCTGTATCTTTTTGAAAGCCCCAAACAAGCTCTTTATTTTCAAAATCTGTGTGTGCAGTGGGGGGGGAAGTGGGCACACTATACAAAACTTACCCAAAACAGCCGAGTATAACACAATAGACAAGATCATGCTGTTCTTTTCTGTAAACATCGTAATTTCAGGAAAGTTGTAATTTATTACTTTGCTGCCCTCTGCAGGATCAGTAACTACTGAGGCCTGATATTTAACATTAATTGATACCTGATTTGGGATAAAACTCTAAACTTTGAAAGCAGTCTAGACCACACTAGACTCCTTCCTTAAGTGCAGTCAATGATTTGAGTGAAATTATTATGGTATACAGAATGAGTATAAACATGTAATTGTAAACCTCAGAATTTTTATTAAACCGTTAAGAAGGACAGGTCAAACTGATTGCACTGAGACGGGGCAAAAATACACATCTCATTCAACCTTCCTGAAACAGGCCTGCTGCTACAAAAACGAACTCCTAGCCTAAAAGAACTCCTTTCCAGATCTGGAAACACCGAGTGCTCCATCCTCTCGTCCAAGTCAGCTCTTCCTTCTGTGTAACAGTTTTATGTTTCACAGGGGCAGGGAGGCAGTCGCCACCAGTGGTTCTGGCTTCTTGAACACCCTCACTGGGAGTGACTTCAAGCACTGCATTTCTTTGTCAATCTTTCCTAAGCAGGGGACACTGAAGCGCAGTGCTCTCAGCTCGCATTAGCTTACAGAGACTGCTCGAAGGGGACAGGCAGAGCTACGGCCGGGTCCTCACGCGGTGCAAGCAGGGCAGCGCTGGCCTTGTCCCGTGTGACACAGTTCAGGTGTCAGGAGTAGAAAACCTGCAACTAGATACAGCAGAAGTCACGTCTCTGACCAGGAAGGTCTGTTCTGACCATCGTGACTCTACGATTCCGTGATTTGAAGAAAAATCTGTACATAAAACCAGTCTCCCCTGCAGTGCACCATGCAGAAGATTAATACAAAACGGTCGTGTTCCCTGTGCCGCAAAGCTCCTCATACAACGGCATAAGTATACAGCATCTTCTGAGCCATTCTTAAATTTCCACTGCTCTGATAGATAAGGGACAAGTTAAAGGCAGTATCTCGTCGCAAATCTGTCTGATCAGCTTCTATACCCTGTAAGAATAATGATGAAAAAGTTATCTACGTGCAAAGATAGTGTAAAACTGAAACATGATACTGATTTAATTGAAATCAAGTCATCTATTTATAGTTTATGTGCTCCGAGTTGTACAGAAGCTAAAAAATAGTATTCTTTTTGTCCTCCCTCTGAGTTTCCACCTTTTGTGAGTCACCAAAAATTACATAATTACATACCCAAAGCATTAGCTGTAAACAAGGTAGCCAACTCATAAAACAGGAAAGTAACATCATAATTTGTGTTTGCATGTGATATATTTGCTTCTATAGTCAGAATGTGACACTTACATGTATCTTTTACATGGTAAAAAGAACTGCTGCTCTGAACTTCCCATCACATGTTGATGACTAACTGCCCTTTTCTTACTTTACTGAAGTTTTCCTGTTTTCTAAATACATTTGTCATTTTTTTTACCCATTCATGCCAGAAAAATAAGCAAAAAATTTGCTCTCAGACCAGATTTTCAATTAGAATCATCTGATGCACATCTACTTATTAGAGAAAAAAGATGGCACAGATATATTTAGTCAAGTTCTTGATCTACTATTGACTTGTGTTCCAGCACACTGTTTTATAGCAATTTAAAACAGACACTTCAAGTTTATGGCACCCAGTCTGTATTAAGTAAACTGTATCCAATTCAGACAGTTTTTCAGGTGCAAGTGTTCAGCAACGTTTTTTTGATTCTACTTCAACCAAGTATTAAATCCTTCCAAACACACGATAATTTGAAATTCCCTTGTGTATTAGGCCAAGATCACTGAAATCCACATTGGGGCTTTTAACCACAGAGAAAGCAAGTGTCAAAGGAAAGCCAAACTATGTAGATTTTATGGACTCCTTTTATCTGTGGTTGAAAAATAACTAGCACTGTCCTGACTTTGTTCTCTGCACATAATTTAGAAAGAGCCAGTACCTCCAGGACGAGGGGAGGAAGTTCAAGCACCTTCTGGTAATAGTGGAGGGCCAGGTGCAGCAGCCCCAGCTGGTGAAGGGCCCGGCCCAGGTTATAGAAGGATTCCTGGCACGGTCCTCGCAGGTCCAGGTAGCGGTGAAGGAAGGAGAACCCCTGTTCACACATCAAGCACAATGTGAGTGTTCCCCTCTGGAAAGGATAAAACACACTGGCAAAAAGGTGTTACCAGCAGATCATTTTATAAAGTGGCCAAGAATGAAATCATTAAATAAAAGTGAAAAAAAATCATGAATCCTGAGTACCAAGAATCCACCTCACTTCTTTAAGCCAGCAGCTGTTGCACTGCTAAGTCCACAGTAGACTTGGAGGGGGAGCTCAAACCCAGCAATTCCACTGCTGTACTCTTAACAAATTTAAAGGGGAAACATCCTGCAGATGTTGTTTTATTTTAAATTAAAATATACGGCCAAGCATTCAAAGTATATGACCAGCAGAATCCCAAGGCACCAGGCGTGGGCGTACACGCCTGGCTTGCACAGCGCCCTGCACCGTGCGGGATGCAGCAGGATGCGGCGGGGAACACGGACACTGCAGGCACTGCTGGGACACACAGGCCTCATCTGCACCTGGCCTCGCTCTAAAGATGCAGTTTTGTTTCCCGTGCCCAGGATGCCACTGCCTACCAGCTTGGGGCGTTAGGGACTGCTTGGCATTCAGTGTTTGCACGGTGACATAAAGCTGAGGAGCGTTGGAGCAGAGCTAGCCCCAGAGCAGAACAACGCGTGAAAAAGGGGCATGCAGTTATTATTTCAGATTAAGATTCATGCTATAGTACATGCGGGAGCCCTGTGGAAAACTTCAGAGTTTAAGGCAGAAGAGTCTAATTCAGAATGGAAAATTGAGCACAGGTCTCCCCCCATCCTGTGCAGTAATTTCCATCTCATTTTGCTCTCTCTGTGGAATGCGCTGATCCTGTTGTAAACAGAGGCCTTTCTTTCCCAAGGCAATGTTGGTAATTAGAGAGGAGAGCTCCTTCACATGCTGGATTAGCTCAGGCCCAGGCAGCTAATCACCATAATTTAGGTCACCAGTTTGTCATCGTCGCTGCATTCCCAGGCAAGCAGGAGGGGATGCAAAAATACCCAGTGTAGCAAACAGGAACGAAGTGAGAAGGCCAGGAACCGTGTCACCAGAGGGTAACATAAATAGGGCATTTTTCAAGTACATTATAAAAGGAGAACGGAGCAGCCCAGATAAGAAAGGCTAGAAATAATAAAATTAGACCATATTTTGCAAGCTCAAACTGCGTCCACGTTTTATACAGACAGAATTATTCTTGTTTTTGAGCAGCAGAGGATCTATAGCTCTTCTGTTAAAAATCAGTAAAATCTCCAATTGTTCCAGCAACTTTATAAATTACCAGAGCTCAGGATCCACATATATTCTACCACCTGGGAGCTACCAAAATCACAGCAAATTTATAAAACCGAATTTAACAAACTAATGTTCACTAATGAGAGCATTTATGCAGAGTGAAGGGAATGACTTTAAAAAGCCTTTAAAAAGCAAAGAGCCTGTGGTTTATCACTGGAACTGGGAGATTTAAAGAGCAGAAAAAAAAGATTTAAGGAGTATAAGGAAGCTGAAAACCGAGGGTAGTTTCAAAAGGAGTTTACAAAATCTTTACAGTGATAACAACACACAGGCACCCAAAAAAAAAAAAAACAGAAAAAAAGGAAGGAAAAGAAAAAAAAAGACCTTTGAAATTTGAAGTTTAATATGCAGTTTGTGAGATGCAGGCACCTAGAACACGTGGCATAGTTTCAACTTTACAGCACTTTCTAGAAACAAAATAGCAAGTATAACACAATATTGGGGGGAAAAGTAGGGAAAAAAAATCCAGGCTACAGCCACCAAGACTGGAATTACTAACATTTGCACAAACAAACAGCCAGCAGCTGCTACAAACACAGCAGAACAAGCTACTGTCAACATAAAGGACCGGAGATCCTGATGCACAGAGGTACTGTTCAAAATCATACTTGGGTATTCATTTTCCTTCAGTTCCGTGTTTTGAAATGCCATATTTGTTACTACAAGTTACTTCAACCATTTGAGAGCGTTGTAGCCGTAAGTGTCTACGCCTCACGCGCGAGGCCCCCCTGCAGGCCCCAGGAGCTTACCTGCACCAGGAGAGCGTGTCTCTTCAGCACGTACTTCTGGGAAGCCATGTGGATGAACGTTAAGCCAATACAAAGGCTGTACAGGGGCTCCCCCGGCTTGGCACGGAAGGCTTGCACGTACTGGCCTGGAAGCAAGCAGGTGAAAAGCAACCCCTGAGAATGTGGGAATTTGAGGGGCTAGAAGGGAGGAGAAGGAGGTGACAACCCCAATTACCCACATTGGAAGTGTGAAGTAAGAAAAGTAAGAGTTTAGGATAACTACATCAAAATAGATATGAAAAACGTTAGTATAAAAGGACTTGATATTTTTAGTACTCCCTGGGCCCTGAAGCACGAGTATGGGCTGTGATAGAAAAATGTGAGCAGGAAAGAATTGGACACAGCAGGGAAATAACTCCTTGCTGCATTTTATAATCTAGCGGTGTTGAGAACTACTGCTGCAGACAACCGCATCTGCTTTCGAAGTCCAGCTTCATTGCTTGGATTGAACTATCAGTGTTTACACCAGCTGCACAGAGTTTTCTCTGCTCTAGCTAGAATCACTAAGCAGTATATTAACCAGACACCCTTTGCTGATAAAAATAAGTATCAGTGTTATTTAACAGTAAGAAGAGGTAAGTGGTGTAACAAAAGATAACCTCACTATGGAGAATTTAGGACAATATGAGCCTTGGTCTGTGACTGAGGCTTTTATATAGTACAGTAATAAGTAGTGACTGCTGTGGAACATGAGCATATAGACACTTTGGGGGGGTTGTTTTTTAATTAAAAGTTCCCTGAACTAATCACTAGCTCTTGAAGCAGACTGCGTATCAGCTACTTACTGCTTCTTTTCAGTGATCATTCATCTGGAGACAAAATAGGACAAGGTGCTAAGCTCTTCAGCACGATCTTCATGGGGCTCTGAAGCGCCCAACATTACAGGGAGTATCTGAGTCATGATCACTGCTTCTGAATAAGGACATCAAGGTTGCTTGAAGTATCTTACTGGTTTTTTTATTAAAATAAAAATATATAGTAGAACTAGTTCTAGCAGCATACGCATTTGCATAGTCTTGACATTGCAAAATGAGCTTTTTTCACTAAAATGTCAAGTGATCAGTCATCAGACTGAGGATAAGAGGATTCCCCCTGGAGTCAATAACGAAGTCTCACTTGTTCAGAACCAAGCAGGAACCCTTGATTTGCCAACGAGAGAAGCCATTTCGGGTGCCCAGGGTTAGTGCCCAGCTTTAGAGCCTGTAACCCAATACTACCAAGTCAAGCAAAGTCAGTGCTCTGAAATGAGGCCCCTTAAACACCCTCACTAGCTCAGGCAATAGGATGACTACAGGGCATGAACTGAAGCCTCTCTCCTCTAGTCACCATGTTCACAGACTGTGTGGAAGGCAACAGTGCAGGCTCCTCACAGCACAACTGCACCGGTCTCAGTTGTGACATCAACAGGGCTGGACTTAAAAAGCAGGAGGTTTCTCTCAAAGGCCTGCTTAAAATAGCCAATTGACTGTATTTGCTCTTTGAGCCATTTTGTTTCGTTCTTATTCTTTATTACTCTTAGACTTTATCTTAAAAGTTGCTTAGCAAATTTAAGCTACAGGACAGGTATTTTAAAATTGAAATGTCTGCTTCATTTTTATTAGCAAAATTATTTAGCAGTGCTTTGATTTAAATACTACGTAATTAAAGCACTAATTTAACACTCCCTATCATTTTTCAACATAAAAAAAAAACTAGGGGGAAAAACAAAATCTCTCTAAGGATAACTGAGAACATGAGACAGATGATGTGAAAGGAATATAGGAATACCAACAGCCTTAGCTTTCTTGAATGGTATTACCAAGAGCATGTTTGAAACTGCCAGACACGAAGGCATTATGCCCATTGAGGACACACAGCGCATGGTTGTCCGGGTTTTTCAGCATTAGTCGGAGGCAAAAGCGATGGTGACGGACATCCTGAGACTGCATGGTGACTTGATTGAAGATGTTCCAGAGCTGAGGCTTATTGACGTTTTCCATCACCATTATTCTACAGAACAGAAAACATGCAAGAAATGAGTCATTACTACATAGCCACATGTACAGATGTCACATCTGGGATACAACTTCAGTCCAGAGAAACTTCAAGTGCAGGGACATTCAAAGTGCCAATGGCAGATCCGTGACTGACGCAAAGAGAGTAAAGCACAACAAAGTTCTGGCCAAATGAAACAGCTCATTGCATTACAGCTTGCTTTGGAATCCAAGGCTGGCACAAACCCTTCCAGTTTCAAGAGGCTTCTTTTTTTTAAGGGAAGCCTGGAAAGCATCAGTCTGGTTCCTTCAGAAATATTTTCAGCAGTTGAACTACAGCCTTGGTGGAAGCAATTACAGAACAAATTATGCTACTTTCTCAACTCCCCACCTGATATAATTGTAAGCTTTTCTGAAGTTCTTGTCCAGAATTGCGGCGGAGAGCCCAAAGTATTCCAGCTCCTTGCGTTTTTGCCTATCATCATAAAATGAATAATATTCCAGAGAGGAATCCACAAGTAGCTCTGCCTCCTTGTACCGGGAGAGGTCACACAGGGAATATATAGCCTTCAGGAGGAGGTTCCACCAGTCGTCTTTTGTCAGGACACTTGTGAGAACAGCAAAAATTGCTGAAAATAAAGTCAGTAAAGCTTTTTTTTTTTTTTTTTTTTCTTCAAGTTCAAGTTGTAAACGTACTACAAATACTCTTAATACACCAAAAAAGTGCTTAAGAAAGCACCAGAAAGCAACATGGTCCAAACAAACTTGGACCAAACTCACAACATTAAAACATATTTCTACAATTCCACAGTTACATATAGAGCATTTGCTCTGAGGAAAATGAATACTGAACCAAGTGTTCTTCAAAGGTCCTTTTTAACTTGTTTTTTTTTTCCTGTAACATTAATTGTTTTAACTCGAGTGGGGATATTTCCCTTAAGTTACATTTTCTTCATTTTTGCTGCCTTTCCTGCCCCATTAATGTGACCTACATGTATTCAGTATGTAAAACAGCAATCTTTTTGTTTTGTTTTTCAGAACTAAAGAGTTAAGCTTATTGCTTTCTTTTTAATAAACATTTGTTACCTTTGGCATCACAATTTGCTGTCTCTTGGTCGTCATTGTCAGAAATTTTATCTCTTGACACCTTAATAAGATAGAGGTGTCTCTCTCCAGATTTGGAGCTGGATATCAAGCACACCTGAGCTCGGCTCATTGCTACCTAGAAGCAAACACAAGTATGTCCAAGAACATGGAGAGCTTCACAGCCAATCCATTTGTGCAGCATTCCAAAACACCCTGCAACTTAGAAATGAAGGCAAAAACATTGTGGGGTGAACATTCCCACAAGGGCATTAGCTCCCCATTGCTTTATGCTCCAGTACAAACTGGGCTATGCAAAAAGAAGATATAAACTCTCTAAAAACATAAAAGACTTTTCCAGGGGTTGGAGCCTCCTTGTCAAATTGTAAGTAGGTGCACATACACATAACAAGAGTTAAGTTTCAGAAATATGCAGATATTGAGCTACCCAAACAGTGCAGCAGAGCCTGTCTCTACCTGCCACCTGATGGATACACTGAGATCTAAACACTCAACTCCCCATAAAGAGTCCAAACCACTTATCCCAAATCCATGAGCACCACTGTATGTACTGCATGAAGAAGCTAATGCTGCTTTGCTCGTCTTGCAACGGAAAAAGATAAAACTACTAACTTTATTTAAATAAAATATATTTAAAAGTGATTTGTGGAAATACGTTATTTACATTAAGTTTTAAGGAAGCACTATGCTGACTAAAAGAAACGTGGAGCAGTTGAAATGGCCATATTAAAAACTATGCTCAGAAATAACGTACCACTTCAAACACTGCAGACACACACATCAATACTACAGGCCGCTAGAATGAATAAGCTCACTGCAGATCTGCTATCTAATAAAATTATGAACACAGCTATATTTTGAAAGCACTACTTTTCTTCACGTTTGATCTTTATCTTAGCATAGCTGTAATGATTAGCTTACCTTCAGCAGCATTGCCAGCATCGTAAGTAGAGTATCTACATAACCGTACATTTTCCCTTGGGAATACAGGAGTGTTGAACGGTGGAGCAGCAACTTTAATTCCTAGGCAACATTAAACATGGTCATTTAACTATTTACATGAAGAATGAGCTTATAAAACAAACACAATTTTAACTCTCTGCGGTACAAATAAGGCTGTAAAAAGTTCTTGGAAGTTGTAACCATCTTAGCAGCGGCATATGAGACTGTCAAACTTCCCTGCAGCAGTTACTGTTTTATACTCTGGAATTTCAGAAAGGCACTGCATAGCTCTCACCTACAGCAAAGGTGCTTCTAGAAAGTGCCTAGTGATGACCATGATGTAAAGCAGCTGGTGGCAAGACCAGCTCTCAGCAGCCAAGAGGCTGCACATCTGCCAGAGTAAGCAGGTGGGAAGCAGAAATTCCCGACGGGAGAGCCAGGGAGGAAGAGTCCCAAGGAAGCACCTCTGGTGCTCAGTACCCGATCCTTCGTCGTGCTGCCACGGCTCACCAAGCTGTAGGCTCACTCCCCGGTCCTACATGGTTGGAGTCTTTTACAAAACACTGTGGTCTTCGGCAGCGCAACGTATTTTAATTTGGGAGTGCAGCACACCGGACCCACCTGCTGGGCAGCATTAGCGTCCTGAGCCAGTGTGTCTGGGTCGTACATTGGTTCTAGAGCCTCCAGAGCTTTCTCAGGCCGGCCCAGCTGCTGCTGAAGTGTTGACAGAGAGATTCTTGCATCCAAATGCAATGGGGCAAGATCAACCACCTTGGCATAGCTCTCCGCAGCACGCTCCATGTGGCCCAAAGCTTTCAGGCACTCTAGAAACATCAGGCACAGCACAATACGCTTCAATGGCAGAAACAGGAGTGGCTAGAAAAATAGCTCACATCGTATATGTTTCAGATGGTCTTTTAGTTGTACTAGAAGTTTTACTAGCAGTTTTAGTTTTACTAGCCGCCAAAAACATGTAATAACAATTTCTCAGTACTCAGAAATAGGCACTGAGGCATCTATAGCGTCACTTAAAGCCTTACCAGTTGACACAGAATGGAATGCAGAATAAATGCTGTTCGTTAAGCTAAAACCAAGTATTCTTAGTTGCAGTACATTTCAAATGACATGAAAGCCAGCAAAAGCCTCCAAGACAGGGCTGTTGTAACACACTCCCAAGTTTAGTTTGGCAAATACTAATTCTCATTTGACATGTACTGAACATTCTGGGGATCTTAACCACCGGGAGCTGCGAATGCCCCACGCTGTGTTCCACCTCCCAGCTCCTGTGCTGGCAGCCCTGCTCCTCCTCACCCGCGTGCCGAAGCCAGACAACAGCCAAGTTGTACCGCTCGGAACAGACCAGGGCGCTCAGGAGAGGCAGTGCTGAGTTGTACTCTCCAACATCCAGAAAGGCCTCTGCAACATCCAGATACAAGTCGCCCATCTCTTCTGGATTTTGTTCCACCAGAGTGGTCAAAAGAGGCTTAAAAAACAATAATAAAAAATAAGCCACCACTGGTCACACTTACACAATTGCAGAACTAACATTTCTTTAATGTTTTTCATTCTACTTGCATTCTGAACTACACATCCTTTATCTAAAATTTTAGTTTAAAAGTGAAAAATAGAGATCTCAATTTCAAAACTCCTGAAAAAGTTACCTTAGTCACCTTCTTCATCCTTTTCATGTCCAGGGGGTGATAGCACCCATCAGGGTGGAGTGCAAGAAATAATTTCAGTTAAAAACAGCTTTTAGATTTAGCAGCTTTAGGGCTTAAAAGCAAGGAAGTTGTGTCCTTCAGCATTCAAGAAGATGAAAAGATATATGCAATGTGTCCTGGGCTTGTCACAGCACAACAGCTGTGATTCACTGTCCTGATAAATTACCCCTCCTGTGGAAGTATCTAGATGATTCGTTAATGTTTATAAGGAACAGTATTTCCACTATTGGAACTTCCACAGTTAATCTCACTCCATCAGGACTGTGAAATAAATGCTGACGAAGGAGATTGACTACATCTCTGTCTGGGAGAACCTCCCCAGCCTCCCAAGGCCTTCAGTCACCTGAAGGTAGGAGAAGTATTTTGCTTGTTAGTAAGAACTTCCCTCAACCTCTGGGTCAATCTCTACTCACACTGAGCGGCTCCAGGATGTTCAAGTGAACCAAGCACACCATCAGCTTGACCGTAATGTCTATTGGAACCCCCTCGGGTATGCAGCAGCTGACTTTCTCCACAGCTGGGAGGGAAAAACAAACAAACAAACAAACCCACATATTTTCTGAACCCACATTCTGAACCCACAAGAATCTCCCAGAGCTCCCTCCTCTCCAGACCATGTTGCTTATCCCATCTTGGCAGCTCCTGCAGATGTTGGTGTAGGCACTCTCTCTCCCCGCTTCCGTTGCTTCAGCTGTCAGGGAAGAGGTAACTTCCTATTTTCTGTGACCCCAAACATTAAGTTTGTATTGATTTCAATTGCAGGATCCTGCAGGATGTGCTCAGAGCCCTCCTCCTCTGGAGTGAGAGGAGCCTGAGTCACAAACCTTTCCTTCGGCCATTCACCTATACCCTCTTGTCCTCATCTTCTCAAGAAAATGTCCCATGCTAAGCTCTTTGTCCTCATTAAACTAAGTCCTGGGTATCAGGGATCTGGCTCTACTCATGGTGAAATGCATATAACTACAAAATCTAACGTCTCACCTGACTGTATTCCTTCCAGGTGTTACCACAACCGTGCTACATGAGATAAAATAGGTATCCAAGTCAACGTTGCCAAACTAAAGGTCACACAACAAAACTTCATTATCGTATTTCCTATGTTATTCATATTCAGTCACTAAATCCCTACAAATATCCTGTTAAAGTGTTGTTCCACCTAAATTTTTCCATTTGACCTGCACACGTTTCTCAGGTTATAACAATTATCCTTTGCTTTCTAACACAAAGCTTCACTATTACCTTCCAAATTGACATTCAATTAGTGCAGATCATGAAATGCAAATGAATTCTTCATGCTCTGAGCAGATTAATGCCAAGCAGATAGTCATCGTTCAACTACTGATACATGTTTTTACAAACCAATAGAAACATAAAAAGTTAAGTTCTTGAAGGATGTTTTTGACTTAAGTGGTGGCCTAGGCTAGAAGCAGTAAGTTCTGAGCAAGGCACAGTGTGCCCAAGGAATTTTTTCCGATCAATCCCCATTTCTCTGCCCTTAGGAAACGTTCTTGATTTTTATATGATTGCAATCAAACTCCTGAGCATGTGGCCCAATTACAGACTTACATTAAATTCTAAACTTTATTACCTGTAGCATTGGATTCAGTAGCTGGATTATCTTGACGGTCAACTACTGCTTCCTGGTTTTCCTGAGCTTCAGTCACTGCGGCTGTATCTTTTTTGAACAAAAACAGGTTATTCTCAGTAACAGAAGCTAAGCAAAGAGTTACTTGATTTTGAATTCATACCCTGATTAGCAGGTTACAGATCCTAAAAACAAAAAGGGGACATTCTTTTGAAAAACAGCAGAACAGGAAGCACTTAAACTTACAAAGCAGTGTTGGGTAGAAGGAAAAATAAGCTTCTGGGTCACAAAAAGCTTGTGTTAGTAAATAACATACTCTACATAATTTGCAACACCATGTGCTTTAATTCCTAAATTCACAATTTTACTCTTTATAAATAACCTCCTCAAAGTCTCTACGAAGACAGTTTTTTTGTACTATGTTCACTGTTCTCTTGTATCTTACCTGCTCTATTCAAACAAAGATTCAACAAAATGGTCTTATGCCTGCATGGGGTTTGGTCTTGAAACAGGCTGAGACACTGGCTGGTTTAACCACAGAACAGACTGCCTGTTTAAGAGGCTGACATGCTGTGATCATTCTCTAGCCCATCAAACAGAAACTTTCCGACTCAGTCAAGGACTCTCATAAAGCAAATTTTTCTAAGAAGGCCTATTTTGTGCAAACACAAGATCCCTAGATCTACACACACCAAAACATTTAAATTGGTAGTAAAAGAAGTAGAACTTATGAAAAATATCAGCCTCAGGTCAAAGGGCAAAATTCTTAACCACAGATGCCACTGAGCTCGTAGAATTTTTTTTTTTCAAAAGCTATTAAGCTGGCAGCAGTACCTGGCCTCCTGTGAATACTCTGAGGAATGTTTAGAACTTTAAAAGGCCTCCAACTCTCTGGAGAATAGTCCTTGTGCCTAATGAATCACCAGGGCTAATTGGTCATCAGATAACATCTTATAAGAAGTTGATGTCATGCCACTTAACTCATTAAAACACTGAAGAGTTTCAAGACAGAAATGCTTATCAACATGCATCAAAATAACCAAGAGTTGAAACAGGAAGGACTATTACATATTATATGAACAGCAGGGTCCTACTTGCTAACTATTTACCTTTTTTCTCCTCAGTAGGATCTTTTTCTGACACTTTCTTTTCAAGTACAATTCCTGCAAAATCTGTGATAACCTTAAATGGGGAGAGAGAGAGACAAAAAAAAAGAAATCAATCATACACAGAAGAGTAACTTTGATCTTTTTGATTTTGATTTAAAAGGATATATGGGGGAACTGCCTCATATGGGAGTTATTATGGATACAGTTTCACAACAAACATTATTAAAAACAAGCTGCTTTTGTTTCCCGGGGGGTAGTGTTTAACCTTTTTAGCTTTTTAGAACGCCTTCTAGTAGACGCAAAGAGCAAGCGAAGCACTAGTAGGCAGTTATGTTCTCCACAAATCTCTCCAAAGTGCTCCAAGGACTCCAATGAATTTCTTAGGCAACTACAGTTTCGCAAGGAAGCTCTAGGATCTGTTTCAACTAAAAAGGGCAACCTACAGTCAGATATTTTACATCAGTGTTTGTTATACATCATGACCTCATGAAAACTCGTATTATTCAATAGAGAAATTAATGCAAAATAGAATTAAATAATCAAAGAGAGAACTCAGAAAGCTTTTGCCAAGAAAGGGAGAATGCACCACTGTGAAGGACTGTTGATCTAAGATCCAATGCTGTCTGCTACTTTTGTCCATGAATTAGAAAGCAAGTATTTAAATCATTGCTAATGCCAAAGTAGAGTGATAAATAAACATAAAGTGACATTCAGGAGAATAAAGCAAATGACTGAAATAAAGCAATTAACATCTCTGTTTACCACCTCAAATAGAGACTTAACTATTTAGGAGCAAGAAACACCATCAAAGGAACAGAACAGAGGAGAAACACCAAGAGGAAATGGTAGGGACCATTTTGCCTCCAAGTACTACTTTGGTAAAGCTGGTAGCCAAGTAATGTGCACATAGAACCGGCCATTTGATTTTTACAAAGGAGTAAGTACAGAAAAGAGCTATAGGAGTTATTTGCAGGTTAAAGTTGCTTTACACTGACAGAATCAGATCTAAATGAAATCTTAAGAAGAGAGAAGGGAAAAACACAAACTTAGTATCACCAAGTAAGAACATAAGAACCTTCAAAAAGAGAAAGTCCCAACTATTGGTGTTTCCTTAATCTAATTGGAAAAGCTATAATAATGGTCAGATGCTAAATTCATTCCTCTCAAAGCTAGACCAAGCCAACTGAGAAACTTGACTCAAAAGGGAGGGCAATTAACCACTAGAAGAACTGGGAACAGACCAGCAGTCTTCTCCAATTCCTGATATCTGAGATTCAGAATAAACTGCTTGATATTTTAAGTCTAAAAATATTCATACAAATAGAAGTAGGTCAGGTAAAGCTTAAGGATCTAGTTTTGAACCATTAGACACTTTGGTCTCATTTTTTGTAACATTCACCTCAGAAAACACCTGGTGCTGGCGGTACAACAATCACACAGACCCTACTTACAAGTACGGTCTTCTCCAGATGCTTAGATCATGGCAATGGTTGAGGAGGACAGAAGGGGACTCCAAAACTTTCCATCTAGCACAGCACACATCCCCAGTTTATTAAAGCAAGCTTCTAATTTCAACGATAATTACTACAAACTAGTAGAAAGTATTCTGTATGCCAACAGTTCTGTTGCTACGGGCCTACAGGAATATAAGTGGTTCCTCTTGAAGGGCAAAGAGGTGCTGAACACTAGACACAAATGCAGTTAGTTCTCATACCGCCAAGGCTTTGTCATACTGTTTGGAAGAAATATATAGCTCAGCTGCTATATTAACATCTTCCATGGAGACAAGGCTCTGGTGTTTAGTAAAAGCTTCTTCTATTATCTCAATAGCAGAGGTAGCATCATTGGCTTCATAATAACTCCTGTAAAACACAGATAGGAGATAGTTGTTATTTGAAATAACTGGTACTTCGCACTTTGACTGATAGCAAAAATATTTTCATATTCCTTTGCTTTTATTTTTTTCTGCTCACTAGGAAAGTTTTTATTCAAGGCCACAAAATCAGAGATAGCAAGAATGAGTTTTTTTTTTTTCCCTTAAACACAATTTGCAATCGTTTGATAAATTAATAATTCGATGTAATTAATGTATACATCAATACATCAATTTGCACTTCCTCCATGGGCAAATCACAATCTGAAATACAAGCTGTATGCTGAACAAAAAATTAAGTGGCTTAAATGAGCTATTTTATACAAGCAAGTTAAACACTTAACTTTTCTACAAAGCAAGTAGAGATGACTGCAAACAAGTGAAGAACGGGTCTGTTGGCAACGAGATTCCAGGTCTCCACTGATATTATGCAGAAATAAAAATGTATCGCAGTCCTATAAAATTTTACATTCTAGATACTTTTTCAATAATCAGTATTTACATTTTATTCTCTTACTCTAAAAGAATACAAGACAATTCATTTATTCTGGATAACTGGCACCAGATTTTGGAAGAACGGTGCCAGTTGCGGGGTGCACACCTATGCATCTGCATGGGTCTGTAAGGCTGCAGTCCTTGATTTCAGCTACATTTCTGGCCTGAACCAGCTGCAAAGCTTATCAGCATCAGTTTCTGTGGAACGCCGGAAAGCTGAATCAAAGATGGGATTGTACTATTCCTAAGTGCAACTTACTTGGCCATGTCTCTAGCCAGCTGCATGAAGCGCTCTCCGTCGGAGGGAGCCAGGAGGTTCAGGATCCGTCGGTAGCCGTCCATGGCCATCTTGTGCTCCCCTAGCTGCTCGTACAAGCTCGATCTCTCCCACAGGTAGCGCACGTTGGTTGCATCGTACTTCAGAGCTACGACCACAGGGAAAAACACATTGGGAGGTTAGTTTAGAAACAGGCAACAACACGTTCTGTGTCTGCCTGCCTGACTACCCAACTGCCAAAGCCCCGGCAAACAACTGCATCATCTCAGGACAAGTAAGAGCTAACAGGAATTTACATCCTGAAAGAAGCAATCCAGATTTTGGGCAACATATACATGCTCCTGGTAAAATGCATTCAACCAAGATGCTCTTCCTCCCCCAAATCGTAGGCTATTTTTAATTTGCCCACTGAATATTAATGGACATGTTATTATACCACAAGCTTTTCATAAGAGAAGAATATTTCTGGTTAACTATACATTATTCAGACACCAAAATCTGAACATGAAATACTCAGATCTTGGCAAGCTGAAGCAAACTAAATTAGAAAACAAAAAACAAAGCAAAACAAAAAATGAAATGATTGTCATTAAAACATTAGCACCTAATATCCATTTTAAAATATTAGAAGAGTTGCTACATTACCTTTTGTGTAGCAAAAAATAGCTTGTTTAATATTGTCCTGTTCTAGTGACATTTCTGCTAATCTAACCCATTCTTCAGTGTCACTAGGATTTAAGTGAGCTGCAATCAGTTCAAACTGTAAGGACTTCTCCATATCTCCCTGGTCTTCATAGATCATGGCAAGAGTGGAAAACGGCTCATGAGCAAGAGGAGCTATTATAAAATAAAGAGAGTGATTAGGAATTATTACTTTAAAAACAACTTGAAAGCAAATGACTTTTCTTTCATTGGAATTAGCTGAAACAGTAACATTACTCCAATAACATTATTATGCTAAAACGCAGAAGAAATTTTCAGCAAAGCTTCCAGTTCCTTTTTATACATAAATTGATAGACACTTATACCTTAATCTACAAAGGCAACAAAATAAACTAAGAAAAGGCCCAGGCCGTTGCAGAATTAGGGTTCCAGCCTTTTTTTTTTTTTTTAAACACACCAAACTAAAAAGCAAATACACTGAACACATTGCTAATTCCACCATACATATTTGATGACTTTCCTTGAAGATTTTTATAATCAGTGACGCCACACTGAACTTCCTGATTTAGGCAGCAATTTCATCTCATTCTTAAAACAAAAGGTTACTATATATATAATACCTTGTTGAATAAAATACCTTGTCGAATGATTTCCATGCACATTAGAATAGCCTCCTCTCGCTCTCCTCGAGCAAACCTGATATTAGCTTCTCCCATTAGACCCCTCAAGGCACGAGGGAGTTTGCTGCGAGGTCTCTTCTCCTAAATAGAAATGGAATAATGTTTCTATTCTTGTTTCAGTTGTGCCCAAATTCAAAAAGTATTACACTTGCTTTTTATAGAGTCTGATATCAAAATATATCAATACTACCGATATTAAAAGAACTCAAATATTTTCTAAAAGAACTGAAACACTTGCTAGTTTTTAAGAGTTGAATAACACTGATAACCAGGATAAATAAAATCTAAACACAGCAAATCTCACATTGTTTTTTAAACTAGGTATTCCTAACATGAAAATTTCTTAAACAGTGATTTGCAGTAATTTTCTTAAAAGCAAAGACATGGTACAATAACATAAGTAATAGTATCCTACACAGAACTATTTTCAGGCAAGTTCCTCAACAAGTAGATAAAACCATGCAAACTGACATTTATTTACTTTGCTTCCATACATATAAAGTTGTAACATGAAAGGAAGTGTAAATACTTGCTTTCATCATTTTCTTGGTCTCTCGATTAAGTACCATCTCCAACACAAAAACATCTCCAGCTGTAGGTTGCTCAGGAGTTTCTTCTTCTTCCTCTTCCTCCTCCTCTTCTTCCTCCTCCTCCTCATCATCCTCATTTTCCCCAAGCATGGATGCAAAGACACGATGGACTGATTTACTGACGCCATCTGAAGTTTCTCCTGGTTAAAAAAGGAGCAGAAAAGGTTTGCAATATAATCACGAGTACATACTATTTTATCAGGACAAGTGCAGAGAAAATGAGTTCTTCAGAATTAGTAGTCCATTTGAAATAGCACTTCTTTAAGAAAGAGGCCTGCAGAAATGAAGAGCTTTCAACGGCCTCTGTGCCTTGAAGATTCTGTGCTATTCATCATCAATGCTTAGTATCTCCCAGACTCTAACATTTTTGGAATTCTTGAAATAAGAGCATGGAGGAACACACTGAATGAAGCAAAAGTTTATTCAACATTTTCCCCCTCAATCCATACAAGAAGATTATTAAGCAATTTTCAGCCACTGAACTGGCCGGCTGGAATAACACTTTTCAGCTGAAGAGGCTAAGCGAACAGATAATTATACTGAACAATAAAGCAGCAACCAGTTTTTAGCAGCAATTTAAAACAAGATCTTGTAACCACTCTATCCAAGACAATAAGTACCATTTAACTCCTGTGAATAATCTGGGTTTTGCATTTACATTTCTCCAAAGAAAAAGAGTTTAAGAATAGGATGCTATATGCTCAAAATAACATATGCCTGAAACATTAAAAATTTTAACAATTTCAACATTTTTAATTACAACTTAAATTACAAACTTAAGCCAGAGTTATAATTGTCCACAAGGGCACTTTCAAGCAAAAAGGACTAGAATTTGTCATTTTTAAAAGGTATCACTTCATCTGCTAGTCACCAAAGCATGCAGTGTTGAAAGGTTTCAAACAAGGGATTGGGCTTCTGAAGTTTTGATAGAAGCTGCCCACAATACAAATTTGAGACTGAAGAAGAATCTGTCTATCAGGTATTGCTTACGGCAGCACACTCCTGCAAACAACGGTCTTCTTACTACATCAGAGTTTATGCATTTGAAAGTCTTTGGAAAATATTTGATGGATTTCATTCTTATTTAGGTATTAAGCATCTAAAGGAAAAAGAAAAGAGTCTGGTTCTAATTCTAACTCTTTACATAAGAATGAATCTTACCTATGCTTCCTTGGTTCTAAAGACTGTGCCTGACATTTTTGTGTTCTCTGTAACTAGTTCAGAAATAACACTGTTGTACAAGTATATTAGGAAAGGAGGGTTTTTTCTTAGATAAAGATTGTATGCCCGGAAAAACATATGTATAACGAATACCAAGCAGAAGGCAGCAGCTGGAAGTATTTCAGGTACATTAGAAAAAAGGAGGGACCAGTACTGACCTCAGAGATCTAGCTCCAACAAGATTGCTAGCATTCATTTTCTGTGTTTGTAGGATGAATTCTGTACATACTTTTTTGGAATGAAGGTACGCAGTGAGACACATTTTACATGAGGCAATTCAAGTGTGTCATAAATATAGATGCAAGGGAATGATGTGAACTTGATAAAATTGGCAAAATGAGTTCAATAACGAACACCAAGAGATCAAAAACTTCAAAAACTGCATATTGCTATTTCACAGTATTGGCAATCCCATGAGAATGCACCGCACAGAGTACAGCTTTTAAAAAGGCGTTTGAAACAGGCTGCAGCACTCCAGGTGTTCCACTCTGTGTAGCATTCCAAGCAGAACTTGAGTTCCAAGCTCAACTCCACAACCTGAGGACTAGGACCGAGGTTCATTAACCCCGGCACAAACTAAACAATCAATGAAGTGCTTTTCCTGCCACTTCCTGCAAGTACAGAAAAGCAGCTAAGGCTACTTTGGCAAGAGATTTGAAGGAGTTATTACCACCTGAGGTAGTATCAAGCTCTCCCAGGTTGGTAAGAAAACCAACCAGGGAAAAAAAGGAGAGAAATTACCCTTAACCTCTAAATAGGTCAAAGGATAAGGGTAGGGGGCACAGAAGCAGGCAGCTCACTCTAGTTTCTTTCACTTTAGATGGCAGTAGAAAAAGGCAACACTCATGCAGTAGAATCAGGAGGGGGAAGAGATGGAGAGTTTCCCTGAAAAAAGATGACTGTGGCTGTTTAAACCCAGCTTTTTAAAAAGCATTGAACAAAATTAAAGCCTGGATATAAATCAAAATAGACCATGAAGACAGAAGCCCTAATAACATGTTTCGATACCCATAAGTTCAAAGCAGCAGCCAGAAACTTACACAAAGTCAGGTATCAAAAAAACAGGTGCTTTCAACGACCTTTTAGAAACATTTTTCATTAAAATTATTGTATTAACATTTACCGTCTGTTTCATCCTGACTTTGGGATTTCCCAGATCCTTTGCCAGATGAAGATGGAGCATCTATGTCTTCTGCATTTTCCTCCGCAGATGCATTTTCTCCATCCTATGAGTATCAACAATGTCAGTTACACACTCTGCAATACCACTTCTTCCCATTTCCCCAATCTTTAGAACTAGGTTTTGCACTGCTTGTGAAACAGGCAGAAAAAAAAAGAAAAAAAAAGGATTTTTAAAAACAACAAAAGCAATGTTATTTAAGATATTTATATTCTCAAAGTCTTTTAGAAAGTGACTGTTAGTTTTAACTTAAGCAAGGAGTCTGTTGCTCCTTTGATATTATGTTGAAGTAAGATGAAGTGGTTGATGAAATCAGGCACAAGCATGTTACAAATGCTTTCAGATCCTGCCTTTCTAAACACAGTGTGAAATACTAAAAAAATACTTCACACAGTAAGAAGGTGTCCCTGAGAAGTCCCTTATCTGTTCACAAGAGCCACTTTCTGCTAAACTCTCTCTTTGAAAGCTAAGATACAGATAAATTAAGTGGCATTCTGACAAGAACAGGGCAAAGTACTGCTCTCCATTCAGTCAAGCATACAGGATTCCTCCTAAAAGTGTAGTTTCAGCAGCCTACTTATAAACACAAAACATGTCTCTCTCTTCTCCTGCCAGAAAATCATGGAGACTACTAAAAGGCATCAGACTGAATCTCTTCCTTTGATCAAACAGACAAGATGGTATAAATCTGCCCACTGTTTACCACTACTGCTTCTCCACCAAAACCTGCTGTCCAGCTCCAAGCTATGCTACCACGAACTAAAATGCTGTACTCTTCACTTTTCAAAGGTTCCTAGTGACTTTAAAGACTAGAAAGTTTTTTTTTCAATGTAAATTAGTAATTATATAGACACATATAATTAAAAACCAAGCAGCACACAACAAAAACTTACATAACTGAAAGCAGGCAGGCCACGCAATTGCTTAGGTGGTCTGCATCTTGCCAGCTGCTTTGATGTAGGGGAAACGTTAAAAGCAAAGCCGCAGGCTGCAGATCAGCGGTGTATAGCGAACAGAACAGGCAGGATTCGCTGCCTTGCCCCCCTATGACAGTGCAGCTCGAGCCTGGAGCCTAAGAGGAAAACTCGCTTCTCGTGTCTCCCGACTACCCCTCTGCGCCCCACTCTCCGGCCTCCCCCGGCACAGCACCAAGGCCGGGACAGGCCAGGACGGG